ATTTGTAGGATAAAAGATAAAAAGATTGAAAGATAAAAGATTCTTTTGGTTTTGGGCTAGATTTATTGAAACCATTTGGGCCGGGCTTAATTTAGATAGTAGGAAGGTATCGAGCAGCCCGTACCATATACATATATATACATATATATTAGCCTGATATGTGCTAAAATTAAGCAATTTAAATAAGCCATACTCGTCACTTTCAAAATTTTATACGGTATTGATGGAAGAAACAATTTACATATACATATAAGATTAATTAGTCAAACAAATACCCATATACCCATGTTATAAAAAAATATGAGGGTCAATAATTTGGATATTATATAGTCAAGTCAAGGAAGTGCATGTGCCAAGTTGTGAACATTGAATTCTTCATTCACGAGTGACATGATTAGTACTCTTTCCAGATAATTGGGAATATAACAAGAATCAAGGAGGTCTATCGATTCTATATAAACCCTGGCTTCCACACTCGGAAGATCATAGCATCCAAAAGATCAAATTTAAACAACTCTTATAATATCTTTCATCCAAATATTGTATTGGCAATATGATGATCCCTAAAGCAGGTAGGCTCGGATCAGCTGAGCAGCGCCTTACCAAGGAGGAGACAAGGAAACTTACCCTTGCTTGCGATAATGGCGATGGCCTCCTCACCAAGCAAGAAATAAAGAAAGCTTTGAAAGTCTCCGGGCCTTCTGGCCTAGCTATATAGGGCATGGAGGAGAATCGCAGCAGCAGACTACGACGGCGATGGACAGGTGAGTATGGAAGAGCTCGATGGCCTCATCGGTTTTGTTTATGAGCTTGGCTACACCAGAAAATAATATATATGATCAGGGTATGAACGGTATTGAGTAGTAGTAAAATAACATAAATGGTTAGGCATAAGATAAATGCGTAGTAGAGTAATGTCTAATGTTTAGTTTTTATTCACAATGTATGCTGCAATGTAAGAGACTATTTACCTCTCGATCTTGGCTCGGTTTGCATGATTGAGCCTTGAATTGTGCTACTGTTAATTATATATACATACTAGACCTCAAAGTCACGCTTTGCCTTTATTTTTATTTTTATTTTTTATTTTTTAATAATTATAAATTTTTATAATAATAATTAATTATAAATATATATTAAGTTCAACTCTGTAAACACAAGGGAACTATATATGAGACTGTGAGGATAAGAGGAAGTGATTAAACATGAAATATTAGTTATCACGTGTTTCAATTCTCAATTAGCGAATGAGGAACCCATCAAAAAATTAACAAGTGAAGAAATAATTTGGGGGTTGAAAACTCAAAATATAAACGTAAAATGCTTGCTTCTACTCATGTCAAGCATACAACGCAATAGCTGAATATCAAATTCCTAATTTGACAACAAGCCTCTGTACGTGCCCAAATCCGCGGTGATTGGCCGATGTAGAGGGCAGCTGAAGGTTTTTCTCAAAAAACATGACGCCAACGCCAATGGCCACCTGAGCAAGTAGGAATTGAAGAAAGCCTTCGAAGAGTTGATCACGCATACCTGGATGCCGAGTTCACCGTTCGCTTCATCAGGCCGACGCTAACGGAGATGGAAGGATTAGCCCCCGTGAACTCGAGGAGCTTGTCAAGTATGCTGTTAAAGCTGGATATGGCATCAACTAGCCTAATTACTACTGTATTAGACATGCCTCTACTTTTATTTTCTGCATGCTGCCCTCCATGTTTTGTTAATTGTTGGACTTAAATAATTTTCAGCATTAGTATAATTATATCAAGAATGAATAACACTTGTACTCAATTATATCATGCTCATGCTGCTTTTTTTTTTTTTTCATCGTTCTATGACTGGATGGAGTCCGTTCTTTAGACAATGGGTTTATTGATGATTTCAACCTTGAAGCAGAGAAGAACTGAATCTTATATTTTCAGAATGGTAATTCAAGAGAACTCTTTAGGGACTTGATTGAGAAACCAAATATGTTTCGGGGTTAAATTTGAGTCTTTTGAATTTTCCCTTCTCTCTTTTGGTATAGCTATCAAGTATGAATTTAAGTCTGCATCTTCGTCTTCGATCCTTTTTCCTTTTTTTTGTTTTATTTTCGAAGCTGTTTGCAATTCAAGTCTGATTCAGCTAAAACAATGGATCCATTTTGGACCAATGATGAATGTTCTGATTTTACACTTGTGAAGGCAATTCTATACCTCTAATATCTTTACATACTTGGTTATATGCCTATTTTCCCATGAAATTTCTCAGAAATACTTACACAGTAGCAGTTAATGAGAACCCATGAGATCACTATACAGAACTATGAATTGGAAGCACAATACAACTGAAACTGATCCAACCTTTCCCTTCTCAGCAATTCTTGTTGAACTTTGAGGCCAGAATATCTCACTGGCATGGCGCAACAAACAAGATGGTGGCTCTTCAGCTGACAGCCATGGTTTGGTGCATCAAACCTGTAATTTGTAGTGCATTGCAATTATACATAAAAGGTAGAGCCAACGGTATTTGGATATCAAAAGTGCATTCAGAAAGTTTATCATCTCCAAGACTGACTACACTACTGACCAGTGACACCATTCACTGTTATTTTGTTCCCAATTAGGAGGCATATATGGGAACTAAATTGAATATTAGCAGTTTCACTTATGGGATTTAATCGTTAGAAGATGACAGAAAACCCTTTTTCCAATTTTCAGAACGGACTTAACAGCATACCTGGGTATCTCTCCAAAACAAGCACAAGCAGCGGCCGTACGTTTCTTCATCTGGATGTTAGAGCAAATATCTTGGAGCTAAAACTTTCAAAGTTAAATTTCCGGAGGGGGCAGCTTCCAATAATTCCATGAATTAAAATCCTCCTGTAACAAATAGAAACAAAGAAAGGAGGCAAATGCCATGAGCCACTCTACATTCAATAGGCTAAGAAAAAACCAATCAGAAAAGATGCAAAGGACACAAATAAGGGAATGAAGAGGGAGAAATGTATCGTATTATCCTTTCACAGAAAATGTATAACTAAACCTCATTGCCTCTGTAACCTATATTTTCGTGTAAAAATATCCAGATGAAGAACATGAATTTATTCACAGTCTACTGCTTTGTGGACAACTGCTTAGATACCATGAATTTCAGTTAAAAAAGGAAGCAGAAGGAAACCTGCTCAGATGAGGGCCTTATCGGAAACATGCCATGAACAATAGCATGGAGGGAAGTGTATGATTTTGTGTCAAGACGGTGATTCACAGCAACCTCACCCTGCATACTTACTGTCAGAAGGAGAGTTTGGACTAAAAGTATGAAAATATCGAAGGCATCTAGATCACCCTTCTTAAACCATGAAGACCTTGGATTACCTTTGGATTGATAATGAATATTTTTCCCTTTGGGATTCCAACCTTAAGATAGCTGATTTCATCAGTATCTCTGTTCCCAAAACCAGCATAGAATGGATTGCAGTCAGGTGGAAACAATGCCTTGATATCCTGTAAATTGAAAGACATAAAAAGCATTACAATCCTCCTTTCTAGTCTCTATGCACATAAATAGATGACTATCTATCATCTGTCTACATGATGAAACTCCTCAGGGTGCCAGAGGCATGAAGAATATCAAAAATAATATAATCACAAGAATTTGAAGCATATACCTAGTCTCTTTTAAATAATATTTCCTGTGTCAGGCTCATGCATCAATGGTAAGGCCTATAGACTGCATTTTCCTGACTAATAATGCCACATGAAAAGAGTTGGGAAAGTCACTAACACTGATACATCATACTCAAATTCAACAGACACTCAAGGAGTCCTCTATAGAAAATATACCATGATTGGGCTGGGAAGGGCAAATGAAAGTAGAAGTAGCCATCAAAGCATGGTCAATTCATTCCAAACTGGTAAACTATCAGAGTCCATAAAAATATGGAAAAACCGAATTTACTAGAAACATAAATCTTAGATCTCTTTATGGTCTACATGCTACATAGCATAAGAAACATCAGATTGGAGAACCTTACATATTAAATATGGAATGATTAATATGTCTGAGAAAAGAACTGACCTCTAAGCATGCAATCTTGAATTCATGAGGAGCTCTTCTTATAACTGGAAAAAAAAAAAGGTACTTCAGTCCACTTATCATAATTTAAAGAACAAATTGGTTATCTAACTAGAGAAAAATAAGGGGGGACAGATGAGCGACAGAGAAGAACTGAGGATACAAAATGAGGGCTTTGATGAAACGAGAGAAACTAAAACCAGAGAAATTATATGCACTACCATATTGTGGAGATTAATAAAGAAGGAAGGTATTAACTTGGTTAAAGATATGCTCTTTGGAGCTCGGGATTGGTGATTTGAGATATTCATTTGTTTACATTTCCAGAAGGGAAAATGAGAAGCAACATGCAGGACAATTAAATAAACATGAATCAACAAAAATAAAGAAAAGAAAAGAAGCAACTCCCACATTTATTTTTCTACCTTCTCGAAATAAAGATGGAAAAAGGCCATCAGGGGAAATAACAATTGGCCCATCTGGTAAAGCTTTGCCATCCTACAAAAATTAAGATAAGTCAGTTAAAGAACATGACATTTGAACCATCTTAAATTTGTTTGTTCGAGTCCATTATCAATTAAATCAATGAAGATCACCTGCTTAAGGTTGACTAGGAATTGTCTAGTGTGATATGCTTGAGATATGGAACGTGCACTTAGAAAAAGCAATTCGTAACCATTCTCCTGCAATACACAAGAAAAATTTAGAACACAAAACACAACAACTAAAACCTTTTGCAATCTAAAAGATTAAGTTGAGTCTCTTTATAAAACAATTAAAACCTTTTGCAGCCTAAAAATCCTAAGCAAAGGTACAAAGCATCTCATGGATGTGGTGGAGCCTTTAATTAGATTTCTTAGTTCTACCACAGAAGATTCTAATTTGGATGAATTATTGGACATAAAACATCAAAAGCTGAAAAGAGAGAGAGGGAGAGACAGATGACAGATAAACAATTAAACATACCTTAATAGCCGAAAATAAATGCACAACACCTGTTTGTGACCAATCCATCCCAACCAATGGCATGAATTGACCTAGAACATCAGATCTGTAATAAACAAGTCAATATGCAGAGTCAAAAATAAGAAAAGTAATATCTTGCCTTCAGAAAATTGGGTGTTTGAAAAATATCAGGGCATAAAAGAAACTGGCTGCAACAATTTCAATCAGCAATGTAAGGTTAGGGTCAATTGGAAAAGAAAAAAAGGGAGAGAGAGAGAAACATGAAAAACAACCAAAAACCAAACTATGAAAAACATGGAGAATATATTTTTAGAAAGATGTCCACAAATTTAAAGTTAAAAATTTGATTTGAAGAAGTTCAAAGACAATAAACTCTATAAAAGGATTAACAGAAAAAAGAAAAACAAACTAGAGAAAGAGAACTGGAAAAATTATTGTGATAGGCTATTTTTACTTTAATGGTAGAATTATGCAAGGTAACAGAAAACTCGAAGTCTAAATCATGGTCATCTTTCTGAGCGTGTATGCATGCAACCAAAACATCATAGTCAAACATTTTCTGCATTACAGCTGTAGCTAATATACTTGTTCAACTATAGTTGATCATGTTCAAATGTACAGCATTTGTGAGAAACACAAAAGGTCAAACCTCTCCACCTTTTGAACCAATGACCATACCCTTGAGGAAGGACAGAAGAATAACTGACTACAAAGACCATTAAAATAATAACTGATTTCAATCATGCATGTGAGCAACATGAACGGCAATCAGATAATAGGGGAATATTATTATTTCCCAGAACAGTAAAGTAAAAGAAACAGAGAATAATATAAAATGAGCTGCACAGAAATCAATTCAAAAGTCAAAGTATCAAGTTAGAATCTGTTGCATTAGAAACTTGAGAGTATCCTTACTTTGTAATGGTTCCATCAACATCAGAGATAACAATACGAGTGTTCCATTTCCACAAAAATATCCTGGCATCTACCTGTTTATTATGCAATTTATAGTAAGCCCTAAGCAGATCAAGAGCAAGAGTGCTAAACATAAAAGTATAACAAATGATAAAGGAAAGGAAAATAAAAAAAGATTCACAGTGAAAATGTAATATTAAAGTGAAACCACAACAAAACATCACCTGCTGCTTGCCCAACATTGCGGTAGAGAATGTAAAGGTTACAGCATTTCTCCCCTCCTTCAGATTCAAGGATGCCACCTGTTCAGAGGTAGCAGTGATAGCCCTCAGCATAGTCTTCACTTTCTTGGGTTTGAGCTCATTCTTATCATCATCAGCATTCTTGACAGCCAAAATTCTGGTACCCCACTGTGCTAGCTTCTTGTTTGATCTAGATCCTTTGAAAGAGAAAGGCCATAGCTTCCAGCTACCACTGGAGGAATCAAGAGCTTTTGATTGATTCTCTTCAATAGATTTCTCCACGGTTATCATGCCTTTCAGTTCAAATATTCTTTCACTTCCAGACTTAACCATCCCTAAAAGAATAGGGGCTGCTGCATCCCATGGGAAGTACTGGCCAAAAATTCTGACAACAAGCTTATCATTCTTCACAACTGTAGGACCTAGAGAATTAAATTTTTCTGTATGAAGTTTCTCAGAATCGAATGCTTGTGCAGCAGCATCGGCTCCCATTCCTTTGTTTAACAAGTGTTTACAAAGAGATATATCTGCATAAAAAACAAAAGCATAGGATTTTCATCAAATTTCAGATTAAAGAGCATTTGTATGCCAGAAACAAATGAAATAGTCCTTTCCCTTTCTTTCAGCAATTATATTGATAGGAACCCTACTCATCTCCCCCCAACCCACACCCACCTAACACAAGTAAATCAAGGTGGCTTTAAAATTACAGAGACAGTGAATGGGTGTATTCATTAACTGAACATATAAATATTTTGGCTGTTGTGATGTAATTTTCACTTTTTTGCAAAATATGGGAGATACTGCAAACAGACTTCAACAAATATAAAATCTAGTTTCATGGGGGTGCACTCTGAGAGTGTAAAAGCAGTGCAAATCTTTGAAATGTAAATGGTACATGAGTGCATATATAAACAAATTCTCTTACCAACTGCTGGATTTTTAAGGGCCTCCTTCAGCACCATTGAAGCCTCTGTATCCTCAAGATTAGATTTATCCTCTGCTAACTGGAGTTCTTTAAATGCAACTAACTTTATACAGCTTGAATCATTTTCTCTAACTGATGTCCACCTCAGGGATTCAGAATCTGAGTCCAAAGAATGGCTTAAAAGACATTTATTGTGTGTGTATGACATGTCATCAGGAGACCACATATTAGGCAATGATCCTAACAGCCAGCCAGCTTTCTCACTACCAACACTATGACTTCGATGGATACTAATAGGATCAGATGTCATGCCTGACTTCTGTAATGAGTTTTCAAGATCATTTGATGAATTCTCCTGATTATTCATATCCAATAAACGATTTACCTTTCCATTTGTATAAATTAAGGACTGATGATCTTCATTTACACAAGGCTGGTCTTTGAGCTTGAGTTCATCAATGTCACTGAAAAGAAATTGTTCTTCTTCTGAAGTCTCTGATGGAGGAAAACTCTTTGCTGTGTCACTGTCGCCACAAATTTTTTGAGGATCACAGATAGACTCCAAAGAAGGATGGAGATCATTCTCAATGGTTTTCTCATCTTGAAGTTGACTATCTGAATGCCATACATTGGAACTGGAGGAAGTGTGAGATGACTCCACTTCTTTGACTGAACCAACCATATGCCCAACACTAACTGTTTCTTCATTGGAACTTTTTAATGTCTCTTCAACACCCAGTTCCTTTTCCTCAGCTTGCTTGACAACCATATCCTGGTATGTCAATAACACTCTAAGTAAGACTGAACCATTAGAAGAAACAGATTTTTGTTTAATTCTTAGTATAGGTAGCAGCAGTTCCCTTGCATTCAGAAATTCATAAATTATTAAACAATTAACAATAACCTCTGAACCTAGAAAATATTTACCTTTAAACATAGCACCATTGGAAAACTAATACTAATAAAAGCATACCTCTGCCAAGGCCCCAGTTGTGATAAGCACAGTTTCAGCATCAATGTGCACTTCCCCTTTACCCCCACTAGAAAGGCACAGTGTTTCCTGAATATGTTCACTGGAAACATCCAATACTGAATTCTGTGACATTTCGCAGTGAGCAAAAGATTGGACTCTGTCTGGAACACTCTCCTTGTTGGCAATGCCACATACTTGTAAAACATTCATCTCACTATCAACCTCTTCTTCATCAAAATGCTTGTCAGAAAAAGCTTCAAGCTCATTCTGAATTTGTAGACCAGTCTCCTCCATCCTCATGTTAACACCCTTTGCATTCTCATCATCATTAGTACTTTGAACATCATTCTCACCAATGATTCCAGATACCTCAGATATTACTCTGCATTTTTCTTCCATAAAACGTTCACCTGACAAAGAAGTTACAACTTGTTCTGTAGAGCTTACAGAGGACATTTGAGCACCAGCCTCCTCAACAGGGTACTTTACGTTCTCAGGGCCAGACTGAAAGTTGTTGTCTGTTTGATTATTCCAGATATCAGTTTCCTCTTGAAACACAAGATAATCAACATTATTTTCCAGATTATCATGCACAGCAATGTCCAACGTGATTTGCTCAACACTAGCCTGCATATCTTTTTCACCCCCATTTGCTAATACCTCACAAACTGAAGGGTTGGAAGCTTCATATTTCTTGGACCTACTAGACACAAAACTGGTAGACCATTTTTTCTCCAAAAGGTCAGCTGCAATCTCTGCACGCTCCAATGAATTAGACCTCATTACACCAGGACTCTGTGCTCTCTCCTTGTCATTGTCCTCCTTCCTTGGCCTTCGTCCAAAAGCAAAGCCCATTATTGGCCCCTGACTGGAAGTAGTCCTGGAGACAGCATTTCCATTGCTTATATTAAACTGATCAGCAGAACTCAACTTACCAGCGTCAGAATCGCAACTTTTGGATTTTAATTGCTTCCTCTTACTATCAGATTGCACATCCATCTCCTTACCAGATGAAAACTGATATAATACAGATTCCCCATCTTCAACATCTGCCTCTCTAAGAAAAAAAGCTTCTCCTTTATTATCAAGATACATGTGAAAATTTGCTTCTACATCATTTACACTGATGTTAACCACATTCTCCTTTGACTTTAAAACCCCTTGAAATTTCCCAAACCGGACATACCAAGGGGATGATTTGAAGCTCCCATCAGGCTGCTCCACAACAATGATATCCACTGCACCACCAAACGGGTGAAAGGGACCAGAGACCGTGTACACGCCACGGGAAATATAGCTGCCTAGCCTCCCCACCGCGTACATGGCTCTTCCTCCAAATTTCCAGGACCACCAGATCTCAAACAGTTAAAGATGAACCATAATTAAGCAAGAAGCCAGAATGATCTCTCTCTCCAAAATGGTAATGATCGTCGATGGCTCCAAAAGTCTCAATAAGCCCAGAGCTTTCCCAGTCTGGTAAGCTCCAAATCAAAAAACCTTACAATTCAACACATCAAAATTCAAGAACCCAATTGATCCAAAGTGAGAAAAAGTTATTCTTTTCAGCTCAAAACAATAAGGACACCCTAGCAGAACGAGACAAGCAACACCCAAACAAAGGCCAAAAATAAAAAAAATGCATCCAAAAACCGCCCAATACCTCAAAATATGAGAAACAAACTAGACAAGTGTCAATATAAAAATTAATCAAAGGCCAAAAACCCAGATGGGATTGGGAAAAAGAAAGCTCCTTCTTCTCTGTTTTCGTTTGCGTTTTCGTGTGTGCATCTCTAACTTGTAAATTCGACGCAATAGGAAAGGTCTGGCTAATGAGAAACCCAAACAATAAAAGCAACCCGCAAAAAATGAAAAACAAAATTACGGCATATTCGCATTTAATAACCGGAATGTGCCAAGATCCCAAAAAGAGACAAAAAGACAACAGATTTTCACTTGTTCTTTTGACTTTTAATATCTTAGAAAGATTCGCAATTTACGATTTTTTGATCAAGGGATTTACAGGGAAAGCTTGAATTCAATGAAAATTAGATGAAATTATGAAGAAACTGACCTGGAAAAGAAGAAAGGCCGAGACTCGAGAGAGAACCGGCCAAGCGGGACCAACAGTTTTCGTGACCCCTACAGGGGAGAGAAAGGAAGAAAGGATGACAATTTTGTGATGTTCTCCTCGGAAATATCGAGAGAGGGAGTTCGGGATGTGATCCACGTCAGCAGTGTGATGGGAGGTTAGGTATCGGGCGGACGTTAACTGAGTTGGGGCCTCTAAACAAATCAGACAAGGTAATGATTTTCCCTTCCTCCAAAGACAACAGGGGAGGGAAGATCTCTAGTGCATATCTAACGCAACATGCACGGCGGTTGGCCGTTGGGGCCGCCGACGATGGCCAGGGTCTGTTATCGGATTGGATCCGATGACCCACGAGTCAGCAGCTGTAGCAACAACTTTGTCTTTTGGGGAAAGATTTCGAATGGTCAGATTGGTTGAACCCACATTGAGTTCTTTGGAGATATATAGAAAGATTAGGCGGCTTATCCTGTTTCATTTCTTCGACCAAGAGTTCGCAGATAATCAAGTAGAACTAGACTATTAGTTGCCCGCCGGTCGGTCAGGAGCACGTGCTTGCATATGTTTAAGATAAAGATACCCGAAATATTGAGAGGTACTGAAGAAATGACAAGATTTTGCCGAGGAACTATATATGTTGGGGTTGAGAACATTTGGAAGGTCGAGGTTGACTCCGAGGCCGGCAATGCGGCACCGGTGTCAGATCTCAGATCGCCAAAGTTCAAAATAAGTA